CTATCCCCCCGCCCCGTTGGCCCTAGACAATGTAACTCCATTCCTGTATACTCGCCGTATATGGTGTTTAGGTGGTGGACCGAGCTGTGACTGCCGCGGGCATGGACGATGATGAATGGCGCGCTAGGGTGGAGAGAGGACAGAAGCTAGCGAGGGAGGCGGAGGGCCGCAGGCGCAGCTTGAGAGACGCCCAGCGGAGCGCAGAAGACACGATCGCCGAGCAGGCGGCAGAGCTGGAGAAACTGCGGGAGGAGGCCAAGTCTCGCCGGGTGGGGCGTCGTGCTCTGCGTGCTCAAGAGGTGAGGCTTCGTGTGGCCCTTGTGTTTCGAATGGGCGGTCTGCTGTCGTGCGTTTGGACGATTGATACATAGGGACGGCGTGGTCAGGAATTCAAGCCTCGCATGCAAAGTATGCATGGGTGGTAGGGGCAGAGTTGATCTGTTCGGCCATTGTATGCTTTTGTACGGGGGTTTCTTCAAGGTGAAAGGGGCGACATCACTGACGATGCGAGACTGCGACCCGCTTGCCGCTGCGTTGTTTTTGCAGGCATCTAGTGTTATCTTGTCTCTGATGTTTGTTTCTATCATGTACCAGTAGTCGCGATGGGCGCTGCTCCAGCTGCCTCTCGTCGTGCCTAACTCTTTTGAGACTTTTTTTGTGCCGACTGTCGCATGCGCCACTACAATCCCCCCTCACCACGAAAAGCAGGGCTCCACGTCGTCCATGGCAGAGTTCGGCTTCGGCGTTTTGAACGGGGGGAACCTTACGGGCGGCCGTCGCCGCGATTTCTTTGACCCGGCCTCTCAGAGATCCGCCGTCGAGGAGTACACCCGCCGCAGAGTCGAGGAGGCGGCGGCGGCGGCCGGGTCGGCGAGCTCGTCTCGCCAGGCCCGCGTGGCCGCCGCAGGCGAAGCCGCTGCCGTGGCCGCCGCCGCTTTCGGCATGCCCCCTTCGGCGGCGTACGGAGTGGTGGGACCGAGAGGTCATGCTCACCGCCATCCTCTTTCGGCGGCGGCGGCTGCGGCGGGGTCCTCTGGCTTCGGCCACGCAGAGGGGGACCCATGGTTCTCTCTGAGGCCTAGTCAGCCGAGCAGGGGGGCGACAGGTGCGATGGCGCCTGGCAGGCGGATGGCTCGAGAGACGGCCGGGAGGAGCGGGAGCTCCGGCAGGAGGTAGGTTTGGTCTATTGGGGTCTAGATGAAGCGAACAGCACTGTGTAGCAGCATATCATATGTAGATCAGCCTTTCGCACCTGATTGGTCGTTCAGGAACTAGAACCGTCGTTGTGGGTGGCGGGCCATCCGTCGCCAGCTTGGTCCGTCCGACCCGACACACAAAGTGAAGAACCTCCGGGTTGGCGAAGTGGCTACCATAGCTTTTGCATGGTGGTAGTGTCATGTATCACGAGGTAGCCAAGTCGGCCTGTCAAGCAAGGGTTACGGGGGCCCAGGAGGAAGTTGAGTTTCTTGTGGATTGCGATTGCGATGGCGAAGCGAAGCAAGCTGCGGTAGCGGCGCGCAGCCGCGTGGACTCAGTTGATACCAAGTGTGTGGTCCGGTTGTCTTGAGGTATGCTTCACACCAGACCATGGGCGGTACTGAACATATGTCGTAGTCGGTCCACACTTCACCGCCCGCGCCCCCATCCTCACTCCCGACTCCTCCTCTGCCCTACCACAAGCAGCGCTGGCAACTCGGCGGCAGCGGCGGCGGCGATGGGGCTCGGCCAGCCGGCGGCGGCGGCGTTGAAGTCGGTGCACGGACACGGACGGGCGGGCGGCGGCGGTACCAACTGGCGCTCGTCGGCGTACCTCCACCCGGGCCGCTCGTCTTTGTCGGGCGGAGCAGGCGGGAGCGGGGGTGGCGGCCGCACGCGGCTCCACGGCAGCAGCGCCCGCGCGGACCCCCGCGGGGGAACCGACGTGAACGTCGGGTCTGCTGCCGCCGGGACCCCCCTCGACGGCGGCAACCTCACCAACCCAGTAGGAGGCCCCGGGAGAAGCTTCACGGTGCAAGTTCCGGCTCGATCGATTCGCAAGACGCACGGCCTGAGCGGCCTGCACGGAGGAGGCGCTAGCGCGAGCGGGGGCCACGCGGGATCTGCTGCCGCCGTGGTGGGCACGTCGACGTCCTACCCCAACCCTTTGGCGAACGGATTAGGTCTGGCGCCGCCGCCGTCTTCGTCGCCAAGCCTGCACTACAGTAGCTCCGGTGGGAGCCAGCCTTCGAGGGGTGGCGGCGGTGATGGCTTGCCTTTCGGCGGGCGCACCCACGGGAGGGCGGCGGCGGCGGCGGCGGCGGCGGCGGTGGCACCCTCGCCGGCACCGATGCTCGACCTTGGTGACCTTATGGCCGGGCATGACGACGCCAGCTCTCGGTCGGAGTGGGACGATGTGCTGGCCTCTATTTCTACTCCGATGCAAGCGACCGATGACGCCCGTTCGAATTCTCCGGGTGCAACGCGTGGCTGAGAGTGGTTCCGGTTTTGCGCTTTGACGACAGCGGCAGAGTCGGCTCTGGGGTGTGTCATACTGGAACATGCCCGCTGTGGGAACACGTTAAAAAAGAAAGCTTTTATTGTTGTGAGTGCAATGCAAGGGGAGGAGGATAGAGTCAGTTGACGCTTCAAGTGCTGACATCTTGCGTGCGTGTCCCTTACCGTACGCACAAGATTCTGGGGGGGGGAGGGCTGCCACTATCAGCTTGACGCCGTCACCCCCTTGGTGACGGTTATTTCACTTCCCTTGGTTGACTGCTGCCGTGTGTGTCGTCATCGCAGACGCCTTTTTTGCTTCCGCTGAAAGAGAGGTTACGGGCCAACGAGAGTTCCCGTGTCTTACTCAGCGGACCGCTCTGTTTTTTTGTGGTGTCGGAGAAGTACATTTTTTGAAGAATATTGAATGTCGATGGTTAACCTTGAGCGTTTCGTTGCTGTCTTGTGTAAGGTGATTTTGTTAGATTTGAGAGGAACGAAAAGTGTGGTGCTTGGGTTGGACTGTAGCACTCAGACAAGTAAGTGTTGGCGTTTGGCGTAAGTTTTATCGACATTGGATGATGCGGAAACGGCGGGGAAAGTAGGCGTTCCGTTAGAAAAGATATTCACCTGACGCGAGGCGTGCAACATCGTCTGCATTGGGCTGAGTTTGTAACACAAGGTTTAGGGAGGACATAATGCGGGTGTACTTAAAAAATCGCGGGGTGCCGAGTACCCTTTGCTTCAAGAAAAAGCCGGGAGGAATGTGTTGGCCTCTCTTCGAAACGTAATTTTATTTGTGTCCAACGTTCGTCTGGTTAAGTTGTTTTTGTGTGTCTAACGTTGGCCTGGTTAGTTTAAGTGTGCATTTGTCTGTTTTGCTGTCGGCTTTCGGGCCACGCTTACATCCGAGTCTGGATCATCTGTCCTTGTCTGTATGCGTTGTGGTGTAATAATATGAACACGTGTGAGCCTCGGTCCGGTAGCCGTTGGAACCTAGTGGCTTTCAGCTCCATCGCTGGGTTAGTCCGCCATGGCAGTGAGACACCAAGGTGCCATCAGGCCTCTGCCCTTGCCACAATCTACCGCGCCGGGTATTTCCTCCAGCTCGGCTCAGGTTTAGCTCCAGTAGATGAATTCATACAGCAGTTGCCCGGTCATGGATAGTCCATTGTTCCCCCCTGCAAGTCTTCCGCGTTTAAGACAAACCCAAAAAAAAATTCCCGGCACTAACAACACAACACTACTTCAGTGCCGCCGAAGCGCGTTTCAAGAACAGGTGTGTAGTTGGAGCTACGGGTGATTGGCTTTTCCGACGCCAACCGACGACAAAAGGAGAATTGTGCTATCTAATCATGTACGAAAATTAAAGGCGGGTCTAGCTCTGTCACAACGTTCATCACCATGACTACAACAGCGTTTCTCCGATATCCTCCAAAAAGTCCGTTTCCCCTTCCTTCGCTCCATTTGCTCTCGAAAGCAATGAACCCGAGCCCTTCCGGCCATCCTTGGCAGCAAAGAACTGAAAGATGTGCTGCACGTCCGATTCAAGCTCGGCCACTTCCCGGCTCTTCAACGCCCGGCCGCCGTTAGCCGCCGAAGACAAGCCGCCCGCTACCGTGTCAGGTATCAAGGCGGCCCACGCGCACTTGCCGCTGCCGCGCGATATCTCGTTCAGTAGGTCCCCTTCGTCCAACTCTCCCAAGGCCTTCTCCCGCTGCCGGTCTCCTCCTGCCGGCGCACTCCCCCCGGCGGGCGTTCTCTGCCCGCCGCCGTCGCCGCCGTTGAAATTCTCAGAGGATACAGCCGACGCGGGGGTGGTCGCGACAGCGGCCCTCAGCTCTCGGGCGATCGTCGCCTTCAAATCTACACCGCGGATGGCCGCCGCTATCCCCCCGGCCATCGGCGTAATACCTTGGTCGCGCCCCGCGCTGGCTGCCTCTATGCGGGGCTTCGCGGTTTTATCTACGCGAGGAGCCGTACTACCTCTCCATTCGACGGTGGTGAACACCCCTCTTCTCGACTCGCCAGCAGAATCCGCTTCCCGCGGACCCACGGAGAAATCGGACGGGTTCTGAGTTGTCCCGGTTTGAACCCCACGCGATTCGGTGCCGTTGCCGCGCGAACCGGCCGCCTCGCGCTTGGCGGCACCGATAAGCTCGCCAGGGCGCCGCCGCGGGGGGGTTCGCTTCTGCTCAGCCTCGTTGTCTCCCGGCCGCCGAAGGCGACTCGGGTTAAGCTTGCTCCCAATAGCCGGCTTGCCGAGAAAGCTGCCCCCACGGGGAGGGCTTGGTGGCGGAGAAGACCCCCACGGCCGTCGCTTGCTCTTGGTCTCCGTGTCCCGGCCTCTTGAAGGGGAGCTCTTGGACCTCCCCTTCCCCGCACTCGAACCCTCGTCCTTCCTCCGAGCCGCCGCGGCAGACCTCCCCCTCGAGGCAATGGTGCTGCCCAACGCTCCTCGCGACGGAGGGAGGGAGCTGCCGCTAGCCTTTTCGCTACCCCCCTTGGGAGACCCCGGTGGCGTACAACCTTCCACGGCGGGCGGCCCGAACGGCTTGCGACACACCCTCGCCGCCTCCCTTCGCGCCGGTGCCTCGACGCGACCGGCAGAGGCACGAGGGGATCGCGCCCGCTCGGGCCGTGGTAGCACAAGTGGCGAACACCCAGCTGTAGCGTCCAGCAGGCGTGTTTCCGCAGCCTGGAGGCATTTTTCCGCGTGCCGGCGCTTTTCGGCCTCCGCGTTCGCTGCGCGGACTGCTCGCTCCAGGTCTACCGCAAGCCTCGCGATCTCTTCCGCCTCAACGCAAGCCACCTGTCCGGTGTTTGGTGGGCACGATCAGCGTGGAGTGCAGGGCGCAACAAGCAGTCGACAGAGAGCCAGGTTGTCATCGTAGGCAGCAAGGGCAGCAGCGTGATCAGGGGCAGAGAACAGAGTAAAGACTCCGCTTCGTGAACCAGTGGCGAGGGTGTAAGGGACCATCGAACTTCTCATGCCTGCACGGCTCGGATGCATACAACGAAAAGTGGGTACTCTATTTTCCAGTCCGTCTCTCCCCTCCTCCGAAGGTGCCGGCCTGAACCTAGCCCCAACCCTAACCTGTTCCGCCGCCCGGCGCACGGTGGTGTTCTCCTCTCTCTGCTTCACCAGTGTCTCTGCCTGTGTCCTCAGTCGCCTCCTGAGGGTAGAAACGTCGGCGCGCAATGACCGGAGCGAGGAATCTTGGGATCGAACCTTCGCCGCTAGCTGTCGATCGTGCTCGTGGTGCTCACGCGCAAGGCCTCCCCAGCTGCCGTTGCCAACGCGCCGAGGGCCCACCTTTATGTGGAAGGGGGTGGGAGGGTGGGGGGGGGTGTACTCATAGTCGTGCATGCCGTAGTCGTTAGACCATTGACCTCGCATCCCTACAAAGCCGGGACGGAGCACGCCGGGTTCTCACCGGACCAGGCTCTCACATCACCAAGCGCGAAGCGCCGTGAGATATTCGGCGAGTCGCATGAAGGGTGCGCTGCATCCTGCTAAGGGTGTTCGGCATCTTGTGCTTACTTCCTTGCGTACGGATGACAGCTGCGTGAATTAATGTATTTTCTGGTGCGTTCACTTCCAGAGACAGTTGTAAGCACTGTGTAACT